CCACATGGCACCGGAAGCCGGCCCAGCACGCAAGCCACCCACTCCAGCCGCCCGGCCGCCTGGACGGTACCGGAGGCTTGCGTCAGCGAGACGGCGGCGGCGGGGAGACAGCGCCCGAGGCCAGGCGTGGCGGGGCGCGGCAGGTGGACGCCCGCCCTGCGCCCGTTGCGTCAGTTCGCCAACCCAGCAGTTGCGTGAGCCCGTTGCCGGCTGTGTCCAAGGCGCGACCCCCCCCCCCCCCCTCCCCCGGCCCAGCGGGCACGGGCTGCACTGTTCTGGGGGCGAGCCGTGGGGTTCACCGACAGCACCCGCAGCGCCTAAACTTGATACCAGCGAGCGGGCAACCAACCCCCGCGTGTGGATCTTCCCAGCGACATCTGTTCCCGGACGACGGCGCGTTGCACGTACGACCCGCGCGCCACCACTTCGGTAGACAGCACGCTGTCCGTCGTCGCCGTCACGGCCCAGACGCAACAACGACGGCGCGCCGGTCCGATGGCAGCTCGTCACCGGCGACAGGTCATTGTTTGGTCGCCGGCGATAGCGTGGACGCGACGCCATGTGTACCAGACAAGCGGTGCGCAGCCCTCTGCAGCCGACGGCGATGCCTAAGAGCCCTGGTGTTGTGCTTCTGCGCTCATCGCATGGTGTGACCCGTTGTGGTGAAGCACGTACGTGACGCGCGCACTAATAGTTACATTATGATTTTATAGGCAATTTATAAGTGATCTGTACAAGTTGGTAATGCCGTCAGTGTTGTTGCTGATAAATCAATGCAACGGAAGTCAACTAAACGTCATTAAAAAATTAGGCGCCTAAAAATATCAGCTTTTATTCCATCACACTCAATATGCTTTTGTGAACCAAGTCAGCATTATGAAATCAGTCAGAAAAAATTAATCCAACGGGTCCTCTCCAACAGTTTTGCTCATCCAACCGGGACAGCTACGAGCTGGTGCACCATGCTGATAAATGGGTCGTTTAAATCATGGCATTCAAGTCAATACCTTGGCTCAAGCCATTTCCGGACGCAAAACGAGCACAACACACCACGGCGTGAAGGACACGCAGTTATACTTTTTTACATCATCGGCGTAAGAAACAGATCACTTCCATGAACCAACAGCAGCTTGCTTGTGGTGGTTCGACTAACGAAGTTATAGGCTTACGCAACAAATAGTAAAATGAAACAACTTGATCACGATAGACATGCGATTCAAAAGATGTCTCCTGGCCAAACTGCTCTGACTGTGAACCACGACGCGGCTCGAAGCACGAAGCGGCACGAAGTGGCGAAGCGACGCGCAGCCAAACCACACGAACCTCCGCCGGGTCACAGCATTCAGGGGCGCGCCGGATGACGCCCATCCCCAGGCAGCATTGCTATCAAGGTGGACCGCGGGCACGGCACCCGCAGCCCGAGCCTGTCGACACGACCTTGCCACTGAGACGACTAGACGCCGCAACCGCAACGAGGGGCCCGGCTCGCGCTCTTCAGGCGCGCGGTCAGGTGTCGTGACACAAGCATCAACACAACACATGTCTCAAGTCGCTCGGCAACCGTGCTGCGGGCGCAGGACGGCACATCAGCCACGGCTCCAGTCCCACAATTCCCTAGCGTTTCAGTTCCGTTCGCGCACCCGCGTTCTTTACCCATCCCTCCGAGGCCTGATTGGAGTCAACCCCGGCTCTCTGTCGCTTTAGCTCTGTCCGCGCACCCGCGTTCTTTCCCCATCCCTCCGAGGCCTGATCAGAGTCAACCCCGGCTCTCTGCCGCTTTAGCTCTGTCCGCGCATCCGCGTTCTTTCCCCATCCCTCCGAGGCCTGATCAGAGTCAACCCCGGCTCCCTGCCGCTTTAGCTCTCTGCTGGCTCAGCTCTGTCCGCGCACCCGTGTTCTTTCTCCGTCGCTCCTAGGCCTGTTCAAAGGCCTGCGAGCCTGGGAGGCCTTTCCCAGCTCCGCAGCCGACGAGCGACGTCCGCCACGTTTCTAGATCGTTCGTTGCTGGTCGCCTCCCCCCCCCCCCCCCCCCCCGCCAATATCGTACTTCAGTCCAGTGCGGCCGTTGCAGCAGCCGCGACGGCTCGCAATGACATCAGGGTAATGCACCGTCGCCCCCCCCCCCCCTTGGAAGGTTTCGCTGATGCAACGGGGCAGCCCGGCCCGGAGACCCCGATTGGTTTTACAGCTGGCGCCCGTGGCGCGCCGGGCCGCACAATACCGGTAGCGTGGGCGGGTCAGCTGTGCTCCATTCGTCGGACGCCGCACACCCACCGCACGGGGAGGTGCGCCACAAATGTGGCCGCACGATCGCGCCACCCGGCACCTACCAACAAGCGGCGTACACTCGGCGGCGGCGCCGACAAGCTGAGGTGACAGGTGGATTCCGGGCCGGGGAGGGAGATGAAATGTCTGGAGGCCCTGCTGTCTTACGGTCACCAACACTATACCATGACCCACCAGTTGAAAATGGAAACATAATTGTTGATCGCGTAATGTAAGAGCCAGAGCGACGGGCAGAAATATCTGAAATGGAGCGTACCTGACCGTGTATCGGGCTCACATGGCATTTATACATTTAGGATACGGCATGCTGGTGAGGTACCCGGACATAGCTTACGTACGCATTTCTTCAAATATTTGCCACAAAACATGCCACGAAACATGTAGCGTGTATTCGTCACGTTGCAGCTCTTCGCTCAGGACCGATAGAAGACGGCGGATCTATCGGTCTATCAGAATGGTGCTGAATAACCCAATGGATCGAGGTGTCGACACCGATGGCATAAATGTCCGCCTTCAACAAACGCCTGTTTAAATTAATAGTAATGAACCTGGATTCGTGCATTACTATTGCTGGTATCGCTACCGCACTATTGTTGGTAAATGAAGCATGATACAAAGTAAACATTACTTTAATATTTGACACGTAACATATCTGTTGCAGCCATTGGCTCTGGGCCGATAGAAGATGGCCGGCCGATAGGCACGATGCTGTGTAATCTACCGGATCATAGTGGCGACGCCGACGGCATAAATGTCCGTGGCCGGCAAGCGACACCCGTGAAACACGCTCCGCAACGTCTTCCGCCACGCAATCCACGAGCCCTGCGAAATGCTGCCAGTTGCTGCCGGATTGTTTCATATTGAAATTCCGCGAACCACTGCTCTTGCCATTCAAGACTGACAAGTGTGAACGTGTTGAAGCTCAAGGTAACTATGTACAGTAGGCTTCGATCTCACACCTATACACAGGCCTCGACCTCACACGTGCACACAATAGGTCTCGATCTCATACCTGACCACAGGTTTCGTAAGACAAGCAGGAACCGCAAACGAAAACCTCACGCTGTGCCTAACTGCAACGGTCCGGAACGAAGGCAATATTTCCCCGAGTTCACAAGCAAAAAGAGCATCAAGCATTTGTGCTTCCTCTCGGTGTGATTGGCGCCCAGAAACTCCGACAAGCATCCCGCTCCCAGGAGCGGGAGCGGGAGCCAAACTTCCGGAGAGCAGATGTCAACGGCGTCAATCACACGCTGCTGAAGACTATGACAGAGTGACAACTCACGACTCTAAAACGGCCCACCCAGTTAGCTCCCTATTTCCATATTCCACGTCAGCGCAGCGCATTGGTTCATACCTCGAAATTACATAACCTGGCCGACCCTGCCGCTTCAGCGATCGGATACGATTTTAGGTTTGAAGAGCCGCGCCCTATACTGCAGCTCCTTTCCCAATGACGGTCCTGCAGACTGTGTCCACGCCAAAACAATGACCTACCACAACAAACAGTGGCGCTACGGCTCAGCTCGTGACGATCAAAGATTGACACACTGTTTTCAAGGACGTTGTTGTATTTTAAAGTATTGCACCATAGTGAAGCGTCACCATCAGGGGCGTGGGAGTGTCTCAAAACTGGGAGGGCCATATCTTCTCTAACGTCCATTCTTTCTATACATCACCATGATGTTAATGTCAACCTTCATTGAGAAGTGAGTTGGTTGTGGCCCATCAGCCCCCCCCCCCCCCCCCTTCATGTCCTCACGACTGTGGTGCCGTGACTCATGGGAACAATGAAACATTTATGAAATACAATTAGCCACACTGTTTTTGTTCCGCACAAGGCGTATTAAGGCGAGGCAGACACCAGGAGCATGTGGCCCTTTGCTTTGTTAAATCCGTGCATGTCTCAATGTGCACATGAATATATATCAACAACTGAAAAATGAAGATACGCAAGTACAGCTCAGAAAATTGGAAAATATATTATATTACACACCACGCAATAACTTTTCTGGCGAAGGTTCGAAAGCTTCTTGCCAGTGATCTTTGACGCGAATTTGCATAGATGAAATCATTCTTCGCGACAAGAGGCACGCCACCACTGCACTGGTGCAGAGAAGACGCCTGAACAAGCTCCTTGAACTTCGACAACGCCAATCATGGTAGAATAGAAACACCTATCACGGTAGAATAGAAATAGAAACGCCTATGGCGTATCGGAATTATGGAGGTGGAGCGCGTCCTAGGATAAACTTAGAGTACATCCACCTCCTCCATCATTTTCCGTGAAGCGCGTCCGGCGCAAGGATCATCCGTCGGCGCCTAACATGTGCATCACTGCTATTTCCTCCGAGGCCAATCCCGTACGGGTTCCCTGACGGCATTCCCGATCCCACTCTTCTCATCCGGGCCACTTCCCAACGCCGTCGCGGAGGGTGAGCGCCACCAGACTGCTGTCATGCTCTGCAGGCGCCAAGGAGCGACGCCAGACGGCGCGTGCCGCTCCGGGCGTCGCTCCGTGCCGACAGCGACGTCCGACAACGGCGCGGGCAAAGGCCGGCCAGCTTCACGGCCCCCCCCCCCCCCGCACCGCAGACAGGAGGGCGGCCGGTGAGTCAGCCGGCCGGCCGGCGCGGCCGGGTGTCGTCAGCGCCGCGCCGCCCGCCCCTATATAACGCGCGCCGCCCGCATCCGGCCCGTAATCGCGCGAGACCGCCGCTTCCGTCGACGCCGAGCGCTCACATCGCTACCGTCGACCGCCGAGGCTACATCGTTGCCGCTCCCGAGACGGGATCCGACTCAGAGGACTGACTGAAGGTGGGTGCAGCAGACGGCCGGAGCACAGTGACGGAATATTTAGGCCATGATTAGGGTATTAAGCGTTATTGGCATGAGCGAGGCGATAGGTCGGACGTATGCCCGATGTGCCAGACAGGAGTTCCGCATTGTATCCGTTTTCGCATGCCGGCAATCGATCATTCGCGGCGATACTTTCTGGAAACTGCGCGACGCGTCACAGCGTGGCGTAACGTCCGGCTGTCCGATACAAGTTAAGTGCTCAGATGAGGGTCGTAAACAAACCAGTGACCAAAACAGCCCCCGCCGATGCCTGGCCCACATGGAGCCGGCGCCGACCGCTCGGCTGACCTGTGCGTCCGCTGCTGCAGGCCGCCCGCCATGGACCGCCGTCCGCCGCCGCCCGTCAGCCGGTGGTGCCTGTGCCTGCCGGAGCGCACTGCCGCGCTCGGCGTGGGCGCGCTCTACCTGGCCGTCAACGCGGCCGCCATCGTCGCCGGCTTCATCTTCTTGGGTGTGACGCAAGGCACGGGCCAGATGGGGCCCGAGCTGGACGCCATCCTACTGCCGGCCGTGCTGGGCGCGTGCCTTGTGTGCATGCTGAACGTGCTGGCCTGCGCACTGCTGGTGGTGGGCGCGCGGCGCGCCCGCTGGGAGCTGGTGCTGGCTTGGCTGGCCTGGTACGGCGTCTTCCAAACACTGCTGAGCGCCGCCTGGCTGGGCGGCATGGCGCACCTCGTCAATGTGGTGGCGCCGGCCGTGCATCCGCCCGACACAGTGGCGTTCAGCTGGCGCGTGCTGAAGCCGGCGCTGCCTGTCGGCATCATCGTGCTCGTGTTCGTCTGGTATGCGTACGCGGCGGTGGTGGTGCACTACCGCCGCCTCCGCGCCGCCGACCACCCCCGGAAGGTGGGCTCTTACAATGTCATCCGCGAGGCATGAGAGCCCGGGCGGCGCACGAGACGCGGACCAGACGGCCGTGCTAGCCAGGCACGCGCCTCCACCGGCGTGCTGGGGCGCGGCGCGACGAATAGAGCCGGTGGCGCGCTAGAGGCTAGGGTGGACCATCGAATCTCGGTGCATCGGACTCAGCGGAGCGCCGAATGGGACCGCCGACCACTGAAGCGGCCCATCCGCTGTGGCTGACCAGTGATGGACTTGCCAGACCTCAGGACTCAGCAAGTTGAATGATCAGTCGGGGACTGCAGCCGCGACTGGGGCTCATGTTCAAATGTGTTCAGCTGGGAGGTAGACGTTCTCACGACCTGTTCAATTACTCGCCTGTTCAAGCGGTCATGCATGAACTATGCTGTGATATACTCGAGGAATACAACATCACGTTGGGTGCACATCTGTTCATGGCATCGAGCATGATCCGACAATACAGCGTTCATTCCGAGTCTGCGGCGCACAGTCACACGATGCAGAGAAGCGGACTTGAAAGCAATTAGTCACACCCCTAAGAGAACAGCAGCTTACGTAAGTTATTCGCGCATTAGCAAGGAACATTATTCACAGACATAATGCAGTAGTAATAGCCTCATTCCTCGGCGAAAAACCGGGAGAATGGAGACATAGCTGGGTTAATATTTCGGCAACATGCCTTTGTCGAAAAAATAGCAGAAGTGAACCGTATCTCCACTCTCCTGGTTTTTTCTCCGAGAAGTAAGGCTATTACTACTGTCTTACCTATGAAAACAACCTCTTGTTGAAAAATTAACAGATAGCGAATTTCGGTTCATCCCTATCCAGGGGCGCCAAAAGGGGTTCGAGCACTCCCCCCCCCCCCCCGCCGATGTTGCCTTGAACACCCCAAAGCTCCTCTGAGCCCCAACGAATATCGGCAAAAAGGGACTATTGAGCCAATGAAATACAAAAAATTTCCCTGAAATGCCAGGTACCAGGTACCTACCTGAATGCATCACTGTTAGCTTCATGCTAATTTTGTACTGCATAGTATCCCGTATCCTTATATGTTATTGCTATTCCAACTCACTTATATATTAGGCCAGCCCCCAATTACTGCAGCTTTTCACAAAACGAAGACGGAATGTGATAAAAATGTGCACTGCAATAGTTCATTGTTTAGTTTATATTAGTACTACTTACTTTTAGTACTTTTTATTTTATACTATTTAATTATAGTTTATCAGTTAGTTTACTTATTAATTAGTACATTTATTAGAAGTTTATCAATAGTTTATTTAGCTAGAAAGTTTAAGTTCGATCTGGTTGGCCGCATTCCCTTTTTTGCACAGTATGTCAACTATAAACGGGAGTTACACAAAAAGTACAAAGTACGCAACAAATCATTTCAGCGCTTTATCAATTTTGTGAACTTGATGTACGTGATGTTAAACAAGGGCGCGCGCAGGATTTTATAATCGGCAGGGGGAATCGTGCGAAAGAAAACCTAGTTAACCGTGCCGCTGGTCTATTAAAAGCATCCTCTACATCGATGACGCAGATGAAAGTCGCCGAAACCGGGGAAGAAATCAGTTTTCGGGGGGAGGGGGAAGGCTGGGTTGGCCTCACAGGCTAACTCCCCCCCCCCCCATCCATTTGAAAAAGTAACACCCCTGTCCACATCACACATTCTGTGACGAGAATTGGAACCGCAGAGCATTCGTGGAAGCGTAGGAACAATGTTACAGCAATGCCGCTAACCACGTAGAGCATAGCTGCCCGTATTGCACCCGCGCGAGGTGAAGCTAGAATGCAAACGTATTTATAAACGTCTAGACACGTATTTAGTGCTCGTATTTCTCGTTTTTGGACATACCGTCTGCAAGCCAATGAAAAAAATGTTAGCATGTATTCGACTGAAAATTGACTAGATAACAATAAAGTAAAATAAAGTAATAACTTAAAATCTTGAATAATATGTATAGAAATAACAATGTTATATAAATTATACGAATTACATAAAATAAAATAAAAAATTAAATAAAATACCACACAAACTGACACATTAATTGGAAAGGGCCATATGTAGACATCAGGCATCACGAGTCCATTCCGTCGAGTCCACAGAAACCGACGAATGCTGGTTTACCGGCCGAATCCACGTCCGATAATGTACCCAGCTTCCAACATGAATATTGAAAGCCCAGCCAAATATGCGGGTAAGTTCCTATCATGAAAGATCCGTTATCATAACACTGATAATATACAGAACGCCAACAAAACGGCGGAATGCAGGGACGCACCCCGAAAATCTCACCATGTCACCCACCGGTGACACCCACGCTACACTGGCGGAACATTCACCACAGTTCGGCTCGACGCTCGGGGCGCAGACCGTTTGACAGGCCATCTCCATACCACGCCCACCAAGAAGGCTGGGCAAGAGTGACGCGATGCCACCCGATGCACGTTGGCTGGGCCCGCATTAACACTGATGTTCGATGTGAAACCATCACTCAAAGGTTTCCCTGAATCCCACTGAGAAACGCACAAACACAAACGTCAGAATGTCTCATGTCACGAACGGTCACCATGAGCAGCCTTTAAAGGGTAAAACCGTCGGACCAAACACGCGGTACGAGACAATCGATCGGCCACTTGGACCGCAGCCGTAGTCAAAACGCAGATGGTGGCGTCACCTTCGTTTGTAATTCGCGCGCAGCAGCGCCACCACTAGGAGAAATTCAGAGTTCCATACTGGTGGTCAATGACTGATGTTGGAAGGCTGATGCCCTTAGACTAGACTGAAGACCAGACTAGACTTGAGATTGGACTGAATGGGAGACTGGAATGAACTGCAGACTGGACTGGACTAGACACTGGAATAAACCTAGACTGGACAGGACGATTACACCACCTGGTGGCAAGTACCCATTGAAACCTGCCCTTGAATGTCTCAAATGGCCAGTATCATTGCACCGAACAATCAATATAATCAATGCACAGAACACTTGGCACACCATGTTCCAAAGGTATTATGCAAACCATACCTGTGGTCTTCTTGAATAGGAGACCCATTAATGTGAGTGTGCAGGAATCCCACCATCCTGTGCACTGCTGTGATAGCAGCTGAGCAGGAGGCTCTCTGATGAGGTCATGATGATACAGCAGAACCTGCTGTCATGTAGGCTGCACTGCATGATTTGCCAGGATGAGATTATTGGTCCTGACACACAGTTGAGCATGCATAGTGCACACATATACTCCTAAGGATTTGTTCAAAGTAGCAACCATATGGCCAACCATGTACCCAAGGTGAGAATGTGTGAAATGTTTTATGTGATATGGGTGGAGTTTGAATGTACTTACCAAAGAAGTTCTTCATTTCATTTTCTTTGATGGCTGATGGTGCAATGTCAGCAATAAGCTTTGAAAGTCCAAGAATCCCCATTGTGGAAAAGTCTGAGAACAAAGGGTAAAATGAAGTATATGTTTAACCATAACCACTCTGAGATGAGAAGAACACTGTCAACACAAAAAACTGCATCATTACAAGCATATTCCACAATGCTTACTATCTTTTACTTTTTCACTTTGTTGACCAAGCTTTTGTATCTTACAAACAAATCAGCAGAATCAGCATTCCAGCTACATGTGACATGTCTGGAATTCCCTATAATCATTGCTAGTGCAGGCACCACCATGAAAGGGGAGGGGGAGGGAAATAGGCACAACATGCCTCCAAGAGATACCACCACATCTGGGGATGCTTAAATCCAGGGCCATTAGCATAAATATAAAATATTTAACCACCAGTCTACAATTTTTCATCTTCTGCCTAACAGCCTTGCTGGGAAAATTAGGAGCAAGTCAATGCAAGGAACAGAATAGTGATTTGTACAATGCTTGGTCAAATTTTCTAAAGCTTTGATAACCTACCTCATCAAGCTAACATTTGAAGATGCATGCAACCATAGACCTCTGAGCCATGTGAGTTATAAGAGTATATAGAATTAAGTTGAAAGTTGGGCAAACAAACGGTGGCATAAATCTCCATCTGAGTGGACCAGACATTTTGAAGGACTAGCTGGCTGCCAGCAGACTGGCTCACTTTTTCTGATTAGATATAGCAGGCAAAATCTGGGACAGACCAAGAATGTTAGCATATTTCAGGAGCAAGTTGCACCATGGTTCACTGTGCAGCACTGCACAGGGAACTGCTGTTGTGGTAGTTAAGCTATGCGCTTCAGAGCTCTGTAAAGCCCCAGACACTGAATCAGCACTGCAACTAATTTGTAAAACTAAGCCCTTACTACACCATGCAGCTATAGCTCATTTTCATTTTGTGCATCCAAAACATTTTTTGTTTCACCAATTTATTTTTCCTTTCAATTGTAGGCTTCATTGGCAGGCTTACCAGTGAAGCCAAGCATGCACCAATGCACCTTATGGCAGTTTGACTGTCTTGACTTATGCTGAGCAGGCACTGCATATCCTTCAGGTGCGCAGCCCATAAACCCCCCAGAAATACCAAGTTAATGAATACTGCCATGCATTGTCGTGCTCGGACGGCACCTCCATCAGTTGAAATTGGAGGGGGGGGGCGGCAATGCAAAAGACGGGGAGCTTCCAAGAATTGGGACAACAAACGGGGCACTGGTCCCCCCCCCCCCCCCCCCCCAGTAGGGGAACTGCAGGCAGAAACTACCTCGGACCTGGTGAGTGTGAGCTTCTTATAATATTTCTCCGAATAACTAGCAAACAAGTCGGAAACAGTGCAGCGATGATCCCAGCTGGTCAGAAGTCTTGCGTGACAGTGTGGTGTCGCCAAGATCGCACTAGTTGCGCAAAGAACGCCCTAGAATTTGGCGCCAATTTGGTAACAAATTATGAGATTAATGCCAATTCCTGAAGTAATTTTAAAATCATGCAGAAATATTTTAAAAGTTTTACGAGTGTGTGGAAGCTTTTTATCCTTGTTTTTATGCATGGCAACGGTGCCCCACGGTGCCCAGCGTGGGTACAGGCGGGGCGCTAACAACCAGGGCAATCAAACACCGCGTGCACCAAAGTTTGTTGGAAATACTGAGACGGACTGTTGCAAGTTCCAGTTGTATGCATAGCATATAGATGGCACAGTGAGCGGTAATCTGCACTTGATGGAGCGGCAAGCTGACCGGGGCGGGCTTGGAGGCGGCCGAGTGGCGGACGCAGTAACACAGGCAGCGGGCACAGGGACCACGTCCCCCTCCCTATTCTATTCCGAGAGGCCCAAGGGGCCCCTGGGACTTACGATAAAAGGCCCCATTTAAGGGCTTGAAGGGCCCGAAAGACCGGCCGGAGGTTGTATCCAGCGGTTCCAGCCCGCAGAGTCAGGCAATCCACTGCCAGCCAGAGGTCCCTGCGTGCTGATCAGGGGCCCCTGAGTCGATAAGGGCCTATATGTCGGTCTGACACCACCAGTAGCGCACAGTCGCCTACGTGGCTGCATGGGCTTGAGGGCTCATTTCCCTACCAGGGACAAAACCGGAGTCAGCGACTTATATCAATTGGGGGCCCAGTGTCTACCAGGGCCCCACAGCGCCTAATGGGTGCACTGAGAGGGCAAGGGGCCCCGAGTAGGCCAAAGGCTGTGTTCGAGGAGGCTCGAAGAGCCTGGAGGACCACTGGGTCCGACGATCAAGGGCCCGATTGGAGGGTCGAAGGTACGAAGGGCTGATCGTTGTCTTATTCAGGGGCCTCTGCCTGCGGGACGGACCCTCAAATGATGGTCAGAAGACCCTTTGCGCCGATCGAAGATCCCTGAGTCGATGTAGGCCTATAAGTCGGTCAAACACTCCAGGATCGCACAGTTGGCTCCTTGTCGGTAGGGGCCTGAGGGCCTACATCCCAATCAACTGCAAAGCCGGGCCAGTGATTTACACTGGTCGGGGCCCCTGTATCCTCTGTTGCACTTACACTTACCCTTACAGAGGTGCACTTGCACTACTCTTGCACTACTCGATACGGATCTAAACAGTCGGGTCCCATGTCTGTCTGAGCCGTTGGGATCCATTTCCCAGGGGCCACAGTGCATACCAGTATCCTGTGGCGGCAAGTGGCCCCTAGTCAGCTAGGGGAGGGGTTGAGGGGCCCGAAGAGGAATCGCAAGGTCCCTCAAGATCATTGATGAGAGACCCGACTGGAAGGCCGAAGAGCCCGAACGGCTGGCTGTAGGTCACATTACCCTACCCGTGGGGTCGTGGTCTCAATGTTAAATAGCGGGCACCGTTCGGGGACCCCTGAGACAGAGTGTTCCTTTGTTTCTGCCAGAGATCACCAACACCGAACAGTCGGTCCCGTGCCGGTTTGAGCATTTGTTTGTCATATCTCAAGCAGGGACAAGGCCCGGACCGTAAGCTTGACAGTTCTGGGCCCCTGAAAGAATGCGAGGCTCCTGCATCAGTCAGGAGCCTACAGTGTCTAACAGAGTGCTCGGTGCCAGCCAGGGGCCGCGAGTCGGTCAGGGGAACATTCGCTCGCCGGGGACGGGAACGGGAACCCGAATGACAAAGGACCTCTTGGGCTGGTCGGGGCCTTCTGACAATGAAAGGAAGCGAGAACTTACGATGAGTGTTCACATTCAGGCAACAAAAAGGCACTGTGCCAGTCAGGGCCCTCAGTACCGAACGGCTGGCTCTCCAACCCAATTCCAGTATCAGCCAGTCAATCAGAACTGGAGTCTATGTGCCGATTATTGGATTATCTGCGGCGATCAGAGATCTTGCTGCGGCGATGGGGGTTTCTGCGTCCATCCGGGGCCAACTGCGGGGATCAAAAGGCCTCCTGCGTCAGGGAGGAAACCAATGTTTTATGGCGTAACCGGCTCAGGGCCTCCGGATCGACCAGGGGATCCCGCCCCCGTATCGCCAGAATGACAACCGGAAGGTACCCCGCAGTGGGACGGAATGACCAGTCAACCCTTGATCGGGAACGATGATGTGCCCCCTAGTGTTCTACTAAAAGTGGCCTCTCTCCTGGAAAAAGTAAGAGTCTTTTTTGTGTTGAATACGGTCAGTCCAAAGGAGTTAAAAAATGAGCATGACCATTCCTCGTTTGCCTGGCAACGTTCACGTTTTTGCAGAATCGGCTAGCTAAACAAGTTACATAACAGTGTTTATGCCTGCTTGCTCACAATCTTCACAGCGAGAACAGGGTTGGCCTGGGTTGCTTTCCGTAAAACCGAACAGCTTGGCTACTGCAAGTAATACTAGACGGCAGGCGCCGTGGGCAGAGAACGACTGTTGTGAAAAAGCATTCTGGATGTCTTCCATACTTAATTGCTACCGTGCAAAGATAAGACTGAACATATCATTTTTATGTCTTTGTGGTTTTCTCACGAACAGATAAACAGTTACAGCAACACGAAAAATAGAGATTTTCCGGTTACTTTTCCAGTTCCACCACCAGATTTTAACACCACTTCGCTGTTCTGCAAAGTCCAATCGGACCTTACCACGAATCTAAAAATGACACCGGTGAATGGTACGCCCGGACTGCTTTATAAATGTACGGTTTGATGTTATACAACGATTGGATGCATTTCTTTCAGATACGTCATCATTTTCGTCCGACCATCGGCCACGGCATAGTCTTAGCCGCGGAAGCAACACTGCGCGGCCCATTGAGACTGCAGAGCTTGGCGTCGAGTGTTTTGTTGCTAAGATTTTGCAAGCATAAACACTGCTCCTAAGATTTGCGAACGTGCATGTTCAAAACTACGTTGTATAAGTTGCATCACGCATCGAATCTGACTAAATGTCCAATATCTCCAGACAAACATGGCTTCGCAATGGTAATACAAATTGTTGAGCCATTTCGATCTACAATCTACAATCGCGGGGTCCTCGATATCTTTGTAAAACCCAGATCTATGACAAAGCTTCTGAGCTCAATCGGTTTAGAGAGAGACAACAGAAACATTGCAAAATGAAGAGCGCCGACGATTAATTACATGCATTCGCCTATGGCATGATTTATTTAGCTTATTGGCTATAAAAGTCAGATAACATCGATTTCGAAGTAGATTTTGACATTTTCAGTTACTGAAGGTAAAAATGAACAAAATACGTCAAAGAAAGAATACCTTGGTCAACAAGTGGGCTTAATCCGACGATCTTTGGGGAGGCCCTTTCATTATCAGCGGCCCGCTGTGTACCAGTACACCACCTGCGGCCCTTTGTCAGGGCTCCGGCTGCGCGCCCAGGCGGACGTGATGTGGGGGGGGGGGGGGGGGGGGCTGCGTGGTGGGCACGCTGTGAGACATCAGGTTGATTGTATTCATTGGGAACGTCTCAGAAAGTTGTGGACCAGACTCAAGGGACATTTGGACACACACATCAAGGGACATGCTCATTAGAAGTGAAGATGAATCGCTTTGTTCGCCCAGAATCCACGAAATGATTTTGAGATGAGCACATGTCCTGGTTGTTATTTTATATGCTATATTGCATAACTTCTGTTGTTTTCCACTGACACACAACTCAATCTACTTCTGTGTTCCACTGAGGCACAACTCAGTCTACTCGTCTTATCGATACCATTGCGCAAATACTCTACCCAGTTTCCTACAATGTTGCATGCGGCTTGGCGTGATTTCCACTGGGGAGGCAAAATTCTACGAGATGGGAGCATGATCGGAGTCATTAGCTAGGCATCTGTTTCTGCAGTGAACATACTAAAATATGGCCCCGGCCCAGGCAACCCAGAATTTCAGAATCAGATTGATGGCCCATATTGACCACAAATTCCCGTAAAATCTGTAAATTAGCATATTTTCATGTCAAGAGTAATAGTTCCAGCATTAAAGTTTTTTCAATGGAAATCTTCATAAAAGCTTCTTCGAAATTTCCCCTCGAGAGGAACTAAGGAACCGACAAAACCAGTTTAAGCCACATGCCCCACATCCATTGGACCGATCGACACCAGACCATCATCATTCGATGCTGTTTGGTCGATGCCTATCCTAACCAGACATTGGTGACCTCGAATCAGGTCAAAGGTCACCAAATACGACCAAAACCGACAAAAAAAGTTTGTAGACAGCCGCATGCTCCGAGCCTATGGCCCAATTCGCCGAAAAATTGTCACTTATCGATACGGCATGGTCGATAACCTATCCTTTCCAGATCATGGTGGCACCATGGTCGATTACCTATCCTTTCTAGCAGATGGCGAACTTGATTTTGGAAAGAGATCATCAAAAAGTGTTCTCTGGGACTTTCGGGCATTTTTTATGCATCCTTGCTGCCATCTTCTAAGTAGCAGCCGGTTGCTTGACAGTTGCCGAAGTCAGGCAAACCAAAGATCTCTCACCTGCTATATCAGCCGCATCGATCAGCCCTCGACGCCTCCGCGTTGGCGAATCACGCTGTCATTTGGGGGAGATTGCATGTTTACCCAGGAAATCAGTTATTGACACTTCTTCCTACTTTGACAGTTATACTGCGTTCCCGCGTTCGTTTCCTGATGTGACGCCGCGTTCCGGTGTTCACCCAGCATGCGAGCAGCTTGCATCTGAAAAGGCGAGGTGTCCCTCGATGTGTGGAATAAAACATCACCGATATGTTTTTTAAGCCAAATATCTTTAATTTTTGCTTAATAATCAAGAAGGGTGGTTGCCAGCTACGAGCTTCTACGGAAGATGCCGCAAGCCAGGCGATTCTGCACGTCAGCAACAGGAAATTGTGTGCTTTCGGCGGCCCGACCAGACAAGCTTCGGACTTTTCAGATGTGATCTCGCACGAACTGGCCACTCGCACAGACAAACATATGGA